TTATATTGGGCTTGGGGCCTGGAACAATATAGTGTGGAATCTCCGGTTATATTGGGACCTGAGTCTGAACCAACATAATTAGAGTCACTAGAAGGTCTAGTGGGTTACCCGTCTAAGTTAACTAGCGTTAATTAGGCAAACTCATATAGCACGCTCGCAATATATTAATATTGATATATGACTGGGGGGAATCCACTCCACCGATTCCTATCTAAAATCTTGAGGTCCATGAATTAAATGAATATTTTCTTATATTGAGAGAACTCTATATAAAGTTATGACTTTGACAGGTAACTGGTTAAGTGTAATTTTTCATATGTTTATTACTTTTGGTTAATAATTTTAAACTTGCAAAAACTGTTTTAATAGCATTACATTAAGAAATGTAGAGCAAATTTTTCAAAATTATGAATTTAAACACAAAGGCTTTTATTATAAAAAGTAGGTGTTATAATATATTATATAAAGAATGGAAAAATATTAATAGAAATGCAAGATTTGTATTCACCAGTTAGGAGGTTTTATATATGTTGATTTATTAGGGCAACAATGTTTCGTAAATAGATATTGTGATAACTATCAATTTGTTCACATTGTAAAAATGAAATAATAAAAATAATAATAAAAAAGCCACCGCCAAAGTTTGGTTTTTGTGCAAGATTGATTGGTGATAATTTATTTATACATTTATACAAAAAGATTAAAAAACGCGCGTTTTAATGATTAGTGCTTCAATGATTAAAAAACTCGAATTTTTTGCTCTTAATAATTCAATGCATAACGTACAAAGAAGGATATTTGTTGCTAAAAAGTCGATGTTTGCTTTCATATTAATGACATAAAAATCGCCTCATCTGATTTAGATACGGCTTATACCCAAAATGGTCATACCACTTTTTTAATATATAGTAAAAATTGCGCAACTTCAAACCACCAATGCTAAAACAAACTCTTTATTTTTTTTGCAATCTTTAGAAGCTAAGCAATGAATTGTAATATATATTTTATTCTTACGTATGGCACACAGTCACCCCATTATAATGGATGATAAGATAGATGACATTTTTATATATATTGAATTGACAAAAGGAGAGGTGTGGATTGGATTTATTTATTTATTTATTCATCCCAGATCAAAGGTCAATTTGATTGATCAGATTTTTTTTAAAGCATATCCGCCATAAAAGAATAAACTTTACAAATTTCTATTGTTAAAAACATCAACTAAACTTTTTTTCCTATAAAAAATAAGATCCTTTGAAAAGAAGAACTCTCATGTGAATCAAAATTTATTTACATATTTTGATTGTTTAAAAAAAATAACAAAGCTTTTTTTTCCTAATGAAAAAAAAGGTCCTTTTTATCCTGATCTTTGTCCTCGTGTTTATTTATTTATCCCAGATTAAAGGTCAATTGGAACAATTGGGGTTTTTTTTCAAATCTATCGCTATAGAAAATAAGCTTCATGCAAACATCAAAAGTTATTTACAAGTTTTTGATTGTTAATAAAAAAAATCTACCAAACTTTTTTCTAATTAAAAAAAATCCTTCGATGGAAATTTAGCAATCGAAAATAAAATTTTCCTTATCCAGATCCTCAAATGGTTAAATTACGAGCGATTGACAATGAAATTAATATTTATCATGAGTACATCCGGTGAGAAATAGCAACCCCGAATAAAAATCCAATTCCGCTCAGAACATTTGTGCAAATTTTGAGGTGATGTTATATAGTCTGTGCAGCATCACTTTTCTAAGTGGTACTTTTTCGATTTTACAATACTCTTGCTGAATTGTTGTAGTTCAGGTAAAATGTTAGATTTTTTTTTAGATAAATCTAATATTAATTAATATATTTTTTGTGATACATATTTGTGGCTGAAAAAAAAAAGTTCTTTTAAAAAAATTTTTTTTTTTACAAATATACAAAAACCACAATGGAAAACATTTTGGATGAAAATAAACATCATGACAATACTTCTACTGACAAAATGATGAATATTCTGATGAAAGAAAGAAATATTATGGGGAATGTCCAACATGCAGTAGATATAATACCCATTGAGCATGGTGTCAATCATGTGATCCAAAGCTATTAACTGAAGGATGGACTAGTGACAATGAAACATTAGATGAATTGATTAAAAGCACACAACTTAAAGCAACTGATTATAATAATGATTATTATCTTCAA